GGTTTTCCCCATTTTGACCAAATCGGTTCGGTGCGGGTATCCAACGGGTCGGCCAAAATTGTCATCTCTAGCCACAAATTCATAAATTTCAGAAAAACCAGACACTACAACCAATTTGGATATTACATGCCCTAAGCCTATAATAACCAGCTTATTGTATTTGTCTCCCAAATCATCACTACCCTCTATCCTACCAACTACCATAAATAAATCACCCAAAAATCCAAAATAAAAAACAAACACAAAACAATACAAAAACACTCGAAACAATTTGATAAATAAATGAAAAACAAGAGAAATACATGCAGAACCAAGGGCTGACTGAGAGCATCTCCAATGGGAGGGTGCATTGCAGCTGATGTGGCATAGGAGAGAGATAGAGATAAAATAAATATTTGGATGAAGTGGTGTGTAGGGAAAAATGAAAAAGAGGAGAGAGATAGAGGTAAAAATGGACCAAAGTCTATGACAAGGTCCATATATGGACCTTATTCGAGAGGAAAAGTTGATGAAAAGTGGGTTAAAAGTGATATAAAAAAATGAAAATGAAAATAAATTAGGGAAAACGTGGATCCTACACATAAAAATTGTGAGATAAAAATGGGACCCATGCGTAAGGGTGTGTAAGAGACCACACCCTTGCATTGGAGTTGCTCTGAGTCTTAAGTTTCCAAGTTGGTTTGTATGTCAGAACCTACTCTAACCCTGATTTTTGCTCTAGGTATAGCTCCGTCATTGTCTGCAAATTATCTAGCTTCTCATAGAGCACATTTTTGTAAGTTATGAGCCCGTTTGGTAACACTAAATTTGGCTTAATTGACTGATTCTGCTTAAATTTATGAAGTTCTGGTTGAAGTGGCTGTATTGACTAATTTTGCTGATTTATAAAAATAATTGTATTTAAAATATTTGTTATTAATAAATAAAATAAAAAATTATATGAAAAATAGCCAAAATGATCATATATAGTAACTTCAGCCAATACAGCCAGAAAGTAACTCCAACCGTACTTTTTTCGCTTATTACATAGCTCAACGCATGAAATCAAAAGTTACGTGTTTGGTGAAAAAATTAAGTGATAAGCCTGATAAGCCGAAAATGGGTCACCAAACGAGCTCTAAAATGAAAAACCTCCACTTTAAATACCATGAGATTTACTTCAAAGTAGGAACCATTATAAATTAAACATAGTTTTCCTTGAATGAGAAAGAATTGTAGTTCAGATTATCAGATACGAAAAAAGAAAAGCATATAGATTATCAAAGTTGTTAGCTAAGATGTCCTCCAGTAATTATGTCATGACCTTGGAAGCTAAAGTGAACAACCAAGATGATACATTGAAACAAAGGTGTGACAATTGTGATTTGCTATATCTAAGACATGGCTCAAGTGTAGTTGTCTATGCAATGCATAAACAATTTGAAGGTCATATACGTACACTTCTCTTTATTAAAATTAAAATCAATTCTTTCTTGATAGACAATTACACTTGACGTGTAAATCGACATGTAACTCAGCGTGTACCCGTACCGTAGCACGATTGGTTAGAACTTAGAAGCATGTCACACTCTAATCCAGGGGCAGCCCTAAGGGGTGCAAGGGGGGCGGTCGCCCTAGGCCCAAAAATTTTGAGTAAAAAATAGGCCCAACTTTAGTTCTTTGTAATAGGTGTGAGTAGGCTGATTTTTCAGCCCCATACTAACAATTTTTCGGGCGGAATTTGTTGAAGATCTTCGGAATGCATTTTTTGGGTGAAAACTTATGATCATATTCTCTATGAAGTGCAGATTATGTAGAAAAATAATTAGTTCAAAGTTTAATTTAGAAGTCAGTTAAATAAATTATTCAAAAGCATTGGGTTTGTACGTATACATATTTTAGTGTGTTGTTTTTTTAGTAATTTATTTAACTCACTTCACGATTGAATTTTAAGCTGAAATTTCATGAGCATAATTTACACTAAATGAAAAACATTCTCTTAAAATTTCATAAAAAATTCCACTCGGAAGCAGATTAATTTGATATGATTATTTGATTAGTTTATTACGGAGTACCTGATTTCATTCATAGTTGATTGTTTGATTTCTTAATTGTTGATTGTTTTCTATTGAGTGTTGGTGTTATAACTTGTTGATTTTGTTAGACAAACATTTTCAATCATGATAAAATTTACTCCGTATTAATTTAATTAATTTCAATATGTAATAAAAAGGATTGAATCTGAATAGGATAAATAAAAACGAGGTGAAAATTAGAGAAAGCGGCGCTAAGTAAAAAAATTCAATGGAAAAGTTTAGTTGTGTAGAGAAATTAAATTTTGAATGTCCGCTTCAAGATGAGAATTCATAGAAGAACAATAATTTAGATACTAAAAATAAAATGATTCAGAATGATTACATCATTGGAGGGGAGAATTTAGGAGGTGATAATAATAGAGTTAATTTCTTAAATATGACTTAAAACATTTGTATGATAATGTACATATAGGATCACCATTGTTTCCTTCCTAAATAAGGATCACCAATATTATACTCCGTAATATGATTGGTTTAGACAGAATAGGGTTTTACATATTTTTATAAATGTTTTGAAATATTATTATTATGCATGTCAATTTAGATAAAAAAGGATTCTACAATTTTTTGAACTTTTAGGCCCATTTTTATTTTCGCCCTTAGGCCTTCGAACATACAGAGCCGCCCCTCCTCTAATCTACAAGAAAACAGTGACAAATAACAATCAGGTAGAGAACACAAATATCTAACCTCCCATCCATGGCCATATATTTATGCCAGAGGAGAATAGGAGATACCATTCTACATTATTGCATCACAAGGATTAAGAAGTTGTTCTCTTCGCCTGATCTGAATGTTTCTGATCTGAATTTTTTAAGTTCTGATCTGATCTGATCTGAATTTTTCTGATCTGATCTGATCTGATCTGATCTGATCTGATCTGAATCTGTCTGATCTGATCTGATCTGAATCTTTCTGATCTGATCTGATCTGATCTGATCTGAATCTTTCTGATCTGATCTGAATGTTTCTGATCTGGTCTGATCTGATCTGAATGTTTCTGATCTGATCTGAATCCTTCTGATCTGATCTGAATCTTTCTGATCTGATCTGATTCGAATATTTCTATGATTATAATTATAATTATAATTATAATTATAATTATTATAATTGCAATTACAAATATAATTTAAATAAAATTATAATTATAATTGTAATTATAATTACAATATTTATCTCTATAATTGTAACTATAGTTATCAATATTATTATAATTACTCCGTAAAATAATTACAATAGTAATAATAATAGTAATAATAATAATATTAATAATTATAATAAAAATATTAATTATAATCATAAATTATAATTATAATATAATTATAAGTATAATTATAATTATTATAATTATAATTAATAATAATTATAATTATATTAACATTAATTATAATATTATAATTTAATAATAGTAATATAAATACAATTAATATTATTATAACGACATTATTATATTAATATTATTATTACAATAATATAATAATAATATTATTATTACAATAATATAATAATATGATTATTATTATAATTAGTATTATATTATTATAATATTATATTATAATTATAATTATAATCATAATTATAATTATGATTGTAATTATAATTATAATTATGATAATTATAATTAATTACAATTATATTTATAATTAATTATAGATATAATTATAATAATTACAATTGATTATACTTATAATTATAAGAATTATAATTGTAATTATAATTATAATTACATATAATTATAATATAATATTATAATAATATTAATCATATTATTATTATAATATTGTAATAATAATAATAATAGTCTTCTTAACAATTGCATTTATATTAATATTATTATATTAAAATATTATAACTATTATTAATATCTTTTTTTATCATATTATTATTAATATTATTAATAATAATTATATAATAATAATCATAATAGTAATAACAATATTAATAATAATAATTAATATTTAATATAATAATAAAAATGATAAATCATGTTTGAACTTTTCTGATCTGATCTGATCTGAATGTTTCTGATCTGATCTGAATGTTTCTGATCTGGTCTGATCTGATCTGAATCTTTCTGATCTGATCTGAATCTTTCTGATCTGATCTGATCTGATCTGAATCTTTCTGATCTGATCTGATCTGATCTGAATTTTTCTGATCTGATCTGATCTGATCTGATCTGAATAAAATAAGAATAAGCAATAAGTAATAAGAATAAGACGAACAGAACAGCACCTAAATCCACGCCAAACTTCAATTATTACGTACTATCTTCGTCCCTAATAAAACTTCGAATTGTGGGTTATGAAATTTGACCAGCGATAAAATTAAATGATCCTTGTGAAAACTCGGATTATTTTTAGTAAATAAAATTTACATATTCAGAAAATACGTTAAACCCGCTACAAAGCTTTCAAATAATAATTCAATTTTTATAAAATTTTGATATATAAAGTAAGAGTTGAAGTGTGATTTAAGTTGACTCTCAAAAAAGCGAAATGGAAATTTATTTAGATCCCGTTTGGTAGCACGAAAATCGGCTGTTTTGGCTGATTCTGCTGAAATTTCTGAAGTTCTGGCTGAAGTGGCTGCATTGGCTGATTCTGCTGATTTAAGAAACAATTATTTTTCAAATATATTTTATTAATAAAATAAAGAAAAATTTTTATGTGAAAATAGCTAAAATGGTCATCTACATTAACTTCAGCCAAAACAACCAGAAAAGTAACTTCAACCCTACTTTTTCTGCTTATTACACAACTCAGCGCGCGGAAGTAAAAGTTACGTGTTTGGTGAAAAAATTAGCTGATAAATTTGATAAGCCGAAAAACAGTACTGCCAAACGGCCTCTTAGTGACAGTATTTTAATTCACACACTATTCATCTTCGCTGGTTTAAATGTTTAGCTTTAATTTGCAACATTGGTAAAGGCACATATTGTATCTCAGGTCGTGATCCCACTACTCCCTGACGGTGGACATAAATGCATGGTCAGGTCACCGATTTGGTACATCCAGAGAAGCAGGAAGGCACTCTGCGGAGTTCTGCATCCTCCTTCGCTGCTTGGACGGCCATGGACAGATCAGAAAGTTGCTCACAATCTCGCCAGCTCGGACCAGACTGACCAGTCCTTTAAGCTCTCTGCCATACGGGTCTCACCTGCAACCCTCCTCTAGGTAGATAGCCCATCTGCGTTAGAGATGGTGGGTGAAACAGAATATTGAAAACTCTTTTTTGCTCATAATCCTACTCGTTAATTGTTCGGCCGGTGCTGAAACTAATGTCATCTTATTTTTTTTTCAAAAATTGAAAACTGAAAATTAAACCGAATAAAAAAAATTCGAAGCGTCATAAAACTTATAATACTTGTATTCAAATGTTACATCGTAGTGATTATAAAAATTACTCATGGTAACTAATTACAGTAATATTAGTCACATTTTTATCCAATTTTTTATTAGTTTTCCCTGCGTCCTATAAAATTATTCTTGCTTACCTTTTTGGTATGTCCAAAAACAATCTTTCCATTTCCATTTTAGAAAGTTTGTGTGGTTAACATTCATTTCCTTTTTTCTTACTCAATCACAAACCTTCAATTTTCACTTTAAATTATTCTCACTTTCTTAAACTCCGATCCAAATCAAATCAGAAAGAATTTTATGGGACGGATCGAGAGAGTAATATTTTAGTAAAAAGTCCATAAGTTTAATATTTTATTGAGAAAAGGGGAAATTAAGGTCATGTACTAACCAAAAATGTCAAATAAGGCCTTATTTAGGAGGCTTTGTCTGGCCATCGCCATTTGAGGTGGTTCCTGGTGAATTTTTTTTCTGAAATTTTTTGAGCATCTTATTCATTAAGTCTAGTTTACGCATATCAAATTTCAGCTAAACTTCAATCGGGAAGACATTCAAATGAATTCTTGAAGATAACTGCACATTTAAAAGCGCAATTATCTTCAAGAATTCATTTGAATGACTTCCTGATTGAATTGTTAGTTGAAATTTGGTATGAGTAAACTAGACTTAATGAATAAGATGCTCAAAAATTTTCATCAAAAAATTCCACCGGGAACCACCCCAAATAGCGACGACCGGACAGAGCCTCCTAAATAAGGCCTTATTTGACCTTTTTTGGTTAGTACGTGGTTTTATTTGCCTCTTTTCCCTATTTTATTTAATTCTTAATTCTTAGTTCTAAAGGTTGATGTTTTAAACTCTTTTGTTAGTATTAAGTGAAGAGTTGGATCAAAATAATTGCTGGATGTGAAATTAATTTGACTGATAATATATACAGATAGTATGATCATTGATCTTGATTTTGAATATTTAGAGGCTGATTCTAGGTTAAGAAAAAAATTGCTTATTTTCATCAATGTTTAGGACGATGTGTGCGGTAGTTACCAATGTAGGGGGCAAATGCCGAGGTCAACGCGAGCCAGAACTTTTGCAGGGTCTAGTTGACTAGTCAGCATTGTTCATCGTCGAGTAACAATCAAGTCTTGGTGCAGGCATTGGCAATTGCTTCAGTAGGCCTCACCTTGACCATGACCTCCAATGATTTTCGCACACCACCCCAGAGGCGGAGGCTATTAAGAACGGTTGCGGCGGAAGATGAAATGGGAGGAACAAGAAGATAAATGAGGGAAAAAGAAAGGAAATTAAGGTTATGTTTGGCGGGCATAAGTCCCTGACTTCTAGCTTTTGTACTGTTCAAAAAGTTCCTAAAAGCTTCTAGTTGTGTGTTTGGCATGACAATATTTAAGAGCTTTTCAAAAATTAAAAGATCTTTTTTGAGATGCTACCAGGAGTAGGAAAAGCTAGTGACTTTTAGTATTAATTAATCCTAACAGCTTGTATACCAAACCGAACTAGATCAAACAGTCAGTTTTTCATCAAACAACTACCACCTTTTATTTTTAAGATCTTTTCAGTCACTAAAAGCTAACAGCTATTAAAAAGGTCACAAAAATATCTTTTCAGCTAGTTGTGCCAAACATGCCCTAATACTCCGTAGTTGATTTGAGAGGGTGGATTAGCGGTGAGAGAAGAGAGAAGAAGGGCGGAAGAAAAGAAAAAGGGGGAGAACCGGACATGAGGAAGAAGGAGAATAGGAGCAACTGATCAGCTAATCTGGAATCAATCTACTAGAATATTAATTTGATCATTTTTCTAAGCTCATGTTCTTAATTGACTGTTTTTAAGTGTGATGACTTATTTAGTTTTTGAGGGGCTATTAAATCGTCTATAGGGTTTTACCGCTAGAGTTTTCTTAGTCCGCTATCGTCTTTTGGCGAGGAGCGATGCCGTCTTCCGGTAATTCGTTCGTGGATAGGGAGATTCGGCTAGAGGAGAAGATAGCAGTGGCCAGCAGGGTACGTAATCGCAATATACGTTTGGGTTGAGAGGAGGTTCGAGCAGTTTGATTTTCGGCAGCAAGGGTTACATCGAAGAAGTTAGCGGGTCTGATTCTCGCTAGGGGGTTTTGTCAGCAGGTTAGGAGGCGACAAGGGCTATATGGAGCGGATGGTTGACCAGTACAAAAAGATGAATATTGAAGAGGATGTCGAGGATGCCGAGGAGTTGGAAATTGTGGTAGTGGGTTTGCAAGGAATATTTCAAGATGAAAGGTTGATGATTCGTCCCCCTCTTGAACCACCGCCGAGGATGATGCTTGAAGTATGGATTCAGTTGTTCCATCAGTTTATTTTATTTAATTCCGTTTTACCCTTTCGAATTTTTATCTTATTCTGCTGTATTTCTGGGGATTTGGATTTGGATGTGGGTGATGATTTGATTGTGATGACCGTCTTTGGCTCATTTGTGCGCATGAATGGATCAACGAGTTATATTACTGAGGTGATTAACTCTGCGTCTGGTTCGAGGGACGACTGTTGTCATGAATCTCTTTGTTGGATTACCTACTATCTAAATGGTGTGTTATCAATTTAAGCCTATTTCTTCCCAAAAAAAGTTTGATGACTTAATTGACTTTTTATATACTACGAGAGCCCATTTATGAGTTTTCCCTAATACGGAGTATTTATTTACGTAGTAGCATTTATAAATTCATATTTCTTAATAGTACGTGAAATACTCGTATTTACTAAAAAGACGTCACCTCATTCGTGAGGCCCCCCAGAACCGACCAAACTTATATGGGAGTGGTGTCGTCTATATCTAATCCACTAAATATTTTTAACAAGACCTTATATGACATCGTTTTGACATTTATATACAAGTTTAGATTTACAAGTTCGAATTCATTGGAAATACAAAATGTTGACTATGCTCGGGATGATATAATCTATGCATATGAAAAAAGTAGGGATTACTTTTTGGTAAATTGTGTTGAATATTGTATGTTTATTTTAAAGATTTTTAATTAATTTTTTTTATCACAAACTGAGAGATAATTAGTGGAGTTATTGTCTAAGTCTTTGCACATACCCTATGGCATTGATGCATAATATCCTCTCATTGGAGTTGTCAAACGTGGACCATAAACTTATCCATTGTGACACTCTCTTGCCACTCATAACGTTCTTGGCAACGCTTGTATTTACCATATAAGGAATATTATAAAGAGTACATAGTATCAAATCATCAATGTACACTTTTTTATTACCATTATTATTTCAAACGTATAGTATACAGATGCTTTGGGTACAACATACATATGTAGCCAAAATAAAATCAAATTGATCTAAACAATGAGACTATGATCATTATGAGTACAATATATATAAGTTTAAAGATTTGAAGAAAAACCTTAGATCATGTACTTTCTTTAACTTTTCTTTTATTTAAAAAAATAAATAAAAATATGGGAGGGAATGAAAGATTATGGGATCACATAGTCCTCTGGAATCACGAACGTGTTTGGATCTTCATGTTGGAGCCATCCATACTTCTCCATGAAAGGGTTGGTTAGGTTTTGTGGAGGGTAGTTATGAATGTCATCTTTCCACACATTTTCATCTCCCAAATCTCTCACCACCTCCCACAAACAGCTGTTGCACTTAAAGCCAGCCCCAAAGCTGATCATGAACACTTTATCCCCACTCTTGAGCCTCTTTTTGGCTTCCATATAACCCAAAACATACCACATACTGCTAGCTGAAGTATTCCCAAATCTGTGAAGTGTCATTCTAGCTGGCTCCAAATCATATTCACTCAAGTTTAGGTTCTGACCAATCCCATCAATCACAGCCTTCCCTCCAGTGTGCAGACAAAAGTGGTCCACCCCAGTCTTAAAGTTGATCATAGGCCTGGGCTTAGGCTGGACCATTCTTTTAATGGAGCTTTGTGTTAGTTTTCTGTGAGTGGACAATATTACAAAGCGAATGAGCTCTTTGAGAGGGACAACCTTGAGGGCAACAACTTTGAGGTTCTCTATGAAAGCCCCAGTTGCAGCCTTGGGAAGGTTTTTGCCCAAGTGAAACCCCACCCTCCCTTCCTCATCTTCTTTTTGTAAGCAACAATTGTATGAATCATCTTTTGCACCTGTATGTGTTCTTACTAAGAACTTTAACTTAAACATGGATTTCTTCTCACACCCTAATTTGTTAGTCAAGAGAATGGCACACCCTCCTATCCTGAACAAACAATTAGCAAGAATCATGGACCTATCATTCCCCGTGTACCAATTCGGTGTCAAAGACTCCGATGTCACGACAAGCGCATACAAATTCTCTCGAGACTTGAAAATGCTATCAACAATATTGATGGATAAAAGACTAGCACTACACCCCATTCCCGACAAATTGTATACCTTGATGTCTTCCCTCATCTTGTAATGGTTGATGATCCGAGCCGACAACGAGGGCATACACGCGAGCATCGACACGTTCACGACAAGAACATCGATCTCCGAGGGACAAATTCCTTGTCTCTTCAAGAGCTTGTCTATGCTATCATAGAAAAACTCTTCCATCTCCGTGACCCCATCTTCGAACGTCGGGCACTCCTCGCGTCCCTCGATCACCACCTTCGGCGCGTACGTTTGTTCCCCGATCCCGGAGCTAACTATGGTCTTCAAGAGGAACTTGTACTCATTCAAACCAAGGTTCTTGTTCCTCCTAATGATCTCCCCACATAGCCTCGTGCTGAGCTTCCGGTCATCGGTTGGCTTGTAGCATTGGTAGTCCAAAATGTAGCACCCTTGGTGCCTCTTTTGGCCCATGAACTTCCATATAATGAAGAGAAGGCAAAAGAGGGGAGGGGAGAAGCACAAAATGGATGTTGGATCCATGAGGAAAGAGATCAATAGTGGAGCCAATGGGGAGTTTAATGTGAAATAATGCTATGAAGTACTTTTTTGCCAGAACTATAAATCAAACCCATAAATATATAATAATAGATCAAGAGAGGGTGTCCTAAGCTGCACATGTGAATACAACTAATGTTTGAGGTGTTTCAACTTTTTTTTAATAACTTTCCCTTAAATTAGACGTACTCTGCCACCACCTCATCGGTGCATGAAGTCTCTCCATCAATCTTTGTAGCAATTAAATTCAGTCCGACCCACACTTTAGGTATGTTGGTTAACAACTGTTTAGTGATAATCGTATCCCAACAAAACTGCTGTAGCTCAAGTGATAATTCATAAATTCATACGTATAGTAGTAATATACAATGGAAAAACTATATATTAAGTTGCAAGGAGAACCATATCATATATTCATATATTCATATTATTGATGAAAGAAACAGTTCGGGTCCTTCAAAGTAAGTAAAGTGTGGTTCACATTTTTATACGATAAGGGAAAGGGGTTGACAACTTTGTTGTATATAGCACGCCACCCAATTGGACTTTTGTATTATATGTGGGGTTTTCGATTCCTTCCATAATAAACTATTCAAAAACTCTCAAGTACGGAGTGTATCTATATACAGCACTAATTTCTCTTACTAATTAGCCACCCTGGCTAAATCACTGTCCAAGGGGATGTAACTTAAGTTATTGAACAAGTTGTAGGTAACTCGCCAAGGGGGTGTAACTAGAGGATTGCGTTGACATATAGCTTCTTTGCATATATTATTTTATGTACTACGAGTAATATTTATTATATATGAATTATGAATATAAACATGCAGGTCAGAAAATTATTGCACTCATTTAATTAGTTTCATAATAAGTACTTATTAAGCTCCCATTCAAATCAAAGTATGAAAGAAGCTATGTGTGTGTGTGTGTGTGTATATATATATATATATATAGAGTGCTCTTCATGTCAGGCCGGCCTGACGGGCAGCCCCGTCCGGCCGAGCCCGTTTGGGCACCTTCCCGGTGGAATTTTTTGATGAAATTTTTTGAGCATGTTCCTCGTCAAGTCTAGTTTGTCCATACCAAATTTCAGCTCAAAATTCAATCGGGAAGGTCGTCAAATGATTTTTGCAAGTTAACTGGTCCGGAAAATACATATTCCGGACCAGTTAACTTGCAAAAATTTTTTGACGACCTTCCCGATGGAAGTTTGAGCTGAAATTTGGTATGGACAAACTAGACTTGATGAAGAACATGCTCAAAAAATTTCATCAAAAAATTCCACCGGGAAGGTGCCCAAACGGGCTCGGCCGGACGGGGCAGCCCGTCAGGCCGGCCTGACATGAACATTCCTCTATATATATATATATATATATATATATATATATATATATATATATATATATATATATATATATGTGTGAACGCACTTTACACCCCCTTGGCGAGTAACCTAGCACTTGTTCAATGAGTTTAATGTACCAAACTCCCTCATGAAATAAAAATTCGGCGCATTAACTCCTGTGATTTAAAAAATGCATCAAACCACACTGTGTTATGATTAATCATGCGCAAAACCCCATCCAAGAACAAAGTTTAAAATTTTGAAATCACTTTTTTTTAATAATATGGTTGAATATGCAAGTAACTTTGTCAATATTTCTAAATTTTACAAAAAAAAAACTAACCATTTTTCATTTTTTGGAAATTAAATTTGTTCTTAGAGGGGGTTTGACCCATGATTAATTATAACACATGGTGGTTTGACGCATTTTTTAAATCACATGGGGCTAATGCGCCAAATTTTTATTTCACGAGGGGGTTTGATGCATTAGACCCCTTGTAATAACATAAAGTTACACTCCCTTGGATAGTTAGGATGTTTTCTTTTGCGCTCTAATTTATTGGTCTGGTCTGATCTAGTCTGTTTAAGTCTGATCTGGTCTGAATTGGTCTGATCTCCGTGTATTTTATAATTGTCCAGTCCTGATCTGGTCTGGTCTAGTCTGGGATTGAAAACAATCCAAAAGAAAATATCCTTAGTGATTTAGCTAGGGTGGTAAATTTGTAAGAGAAATTAGTGCTTTATACGTTGGTATGTATAGTAGTTTAATGTTTTTTTAATATAAATGATCGGTTTTTTATATTAAAATCGAGAAACAGTCACCCCATACAAAACAACCTGATTCGCTAGACACGAAATGAACAATTTAAAGTCTAAAACAATCGGGACTGAATACTGTCTATCAAACGAACACCAACAATCCAAATTTTCACACCAAACCTACTCAAACTAAAATAAAAGCAAGTACTTCTAATGGAAAAATAAAATTCTTCATGGCACGAATGTGATTTTGGAGGAGGATGACTTCTACCAATGTCTACGTACTCTAAAAGAAGACGGACAAGAACTCTTGACCAGAGGAAGCTAGCCGGGACACAAACAGAATTCCCCAATTCGAGAGAGAAAAGTCACTCTGGAGCACCAATGCCCCGAGAAAGATGTTAAAGTCCCACACTGGCTGAAAGAATTAAACACTATATTAAGATCTGAGCTACTCCTCCTATCAGGTTGACCTTTTAGGATGTAACCTCAGGTCTTAACATGATGGTATCGGAGCCAAATTGATCCATGGTGTGGGCCCCCTATAAAAAATGATGTCACGATTATGAAAAAATGACAATGACGTCAATGA